TTGTAGGGATGCGAGGTCAATGGTCTAACGACTACGGCATGCACGACTATGAGTACACAAGAGGGGTGCACAACACAAGAGGCCTCCCGACGGGCGTGGAACACCACCCTCACTTGCTTCGAGTGGCCGCAGTCGCGGGACCTGGGGCTCCTCGCAGCTGAAGACATGTCCTCCTCGGGGGGGACACCTCGCCACCTAGCTCTTCGGACACACGCCCACCTGAAAAGAAGCGTTTATTTGTTATTTTACATGGCGCAAAATCCGACAAGATAAAACAGCGTTACTATTGTTGTTCTTTTGAATCACACCTACCTTGCTTGGAAGAAGCATATTCTTTTTCGAATATTTACAACAAATCACTATCAATGAAGATTACTACCCGTTCGAGGTAATACCGCAGCCCGAGGGGGGTGTGGATTCGAAAGTCTTAGTACACTGAATCATTAACCTTTGCACTGATTCCTCAGTGACACACTGGTCATCAATGTGTTTCTTTGTTTCGTCGCGCATATTTCAGATCAAATAAATATCAGCGTCGGGCAACGGTTGGGGCTAGTCTCGACCCACCTGACACGCACTCTACCTCCTCCGCAAACCTTCTCTCTATCCAAACCAAAAACTCTGGTTACAAGTCTATACATTCAAGAGATTATAGGAGGGGATGCTAAAACGTCCCGTTCGGGTTCTAAGCGTCCTATCCTAACCTCGGGGGTTTGATCTGTGCAGGACATCACGACGCGGCTAAAATAGGCGTGCGCGTGCTGGCACGCTCAGATACACTCTGGTGGGAGCTGCTGAAGCTTTATCATGGGCATACGTATGCTGTCGACGCCTGCAACCAGGCTGCGGTCCGCACATGGACATACGTGTACATCTGCTGGGGTCGAACGTGGAACCACTAAACCAAAGAAGCATGCATGCATGCGTATGTTCGTTTAGTTGCTTCTCTCGTCGACTTTTCCCAACTCGGCGGCGTCACGCTTGTGACTTGCGACCCCTTTTTTGGTGAGCCGGACCACAATGTCTACACCAGAACTTTCATGCTGCCGTAGCAGGTCCTTATCAGCAGCGTCGTTTCGAACCACCCGCTACTGCTGTCCAGTAGATCGGTTCTCGTGGCGGCGAGCACGAGGAGAGTGGTTATCCTACTGCTGGTAGTGGTAGGGACGTCAGTAGGTAAATAGTGCCGGTAGGACCAGACCAGCATTCCGGCACTATTCAGATCCACCGATAGTATTTCAGAGCACAGAACGACCAGGTTATTCCGTCTGTGCCCGCCAATAACACTGACACAATACATACCGGGCGTTTTCGCGATACCGCTGATGCACAACACTGAGGGCCTCCCGCTGTGTTTGGTTTGGGATAATTGCAGAGTTTCGGGAACTACTGCTGTAGCTGCAACCTTCCGACAACGCAGCCCAGCAGTAGATCTGAGGGTGGTATAACGCCCATGTCGCCTCTACTTTGCCATAAACGTTCCTGACATACTGGTAGGATTTTAACTGCTGTGAGGGACATTTAACTACTGTAAAGGTACTGATTCATGGAGCCCGGCAGTTGTTGTCGATTTCTCAGCCCCAAATCGTCTTGAAGTTAGACAACACATGTAGAGCCTTTCATCTTGTCCCTCCGCTGGTACTCTCAACAATGGCAGAGAACAAATGGGGATATACCGAGGTGGAGCCATACTGCACACGATCACGAAACACCAGCAGCTACAAGCGGAAAGGGTTACACCACTATATTTGAACGGGGCGTGAGCACGTCCGCACACAAGTTCACCCATGGCTGTTGTTGTTCTCTGTGGGTCTGTGGGTTGTACATCTTTGACTATGCATGTATGCGTTGAGTACCTGTACGTCAAAGCTGTGTGCATGTGGTGCATGGACAGAAATGGAGCAGATAACATGCTGCTCTCTACCATCACTCATTGGCCGTAAACATGAACCACGTTTCCCGCAGTGCTAGCTGTAGTTGCAAGGTGAACTTGAGTGCTGGCCGCGCATCGGCTGGCCGTGGTCTGGATTCCGGACACCGGATGCAAACGGCCACTTTTTCCCCTGGGTACATATATTGTTGTCTTTCTCACCCGGTGGCGCAACTCCTGGGAACAGAAGTCGCGAACCCAACCCCCGCTGATCACACCCTCTGTCCGTCCCTTGGGCTCTCACGTGAGTTGTCAGCACGCTGCGTAGCAGGTAGGAGGGTAGGAGCGGAGATGACACTTGCACCCGAGGACAGCAACCAGCAGGGGGCACGCGACGGGCAGCGAAATATTTTTCCAGTATCCTACGTATTCAAGATCCAAGATTCTGGTTTAGCGGAGCCCCCAGCCCAATCCACATGTACGATTAGCGATCCATCCATCGTGAGAGACATGATCATGTGATGTGCTCGCTGCTCTTGCCGTGCACACCTGATGGTATCTTCGCCTGGGTGTGGACGAGCTAAAGAGGAGTTGGATCCGGATTTACCTGCGATAAGATACACGATATAAAAGGGGAATGAAGATGCTATCTCGAGACTACGGCTGCGTCGGCAGCAACGACTCCTCTGTCTTGGCGTCATGGAGCACCGAGGGGTTTGTGGGGAGACTAGGAAACATTGGGAGCTGTCGAGACGGTACTACTACGATTTCCGACGTACTTGGCAACGTTCAGGTTAGCCGCTTGTTTTTATCGCCATTCGATCCGCTGAAGGCTTATAACATCTAGTCTAAGTACTTGTGGAGAAACAAACATGTTCAACGATCAAACTACTCCTGCAGCAGTACATACCATATGAACATGTACTTACAAGCATGTAGGCGAAGATCTCGCCGGGCCGGCGGTCAATCCAACCATCGTCTCTACGAACATACGTGATGACAGTACTAAGGTGGTCAGGTTCTCCCGTTCTGCCATTATAAAAAAAGTCGCACTACTGCTGTACAAGGTACAGGTAGTCTACATTATCAGTAAACGTAACATAGTCTAGACTACGTGACTTGTGTTGACTGCAGCACATCATGCTGTTTTCAAACGTGTTACCTCCCTTCGCGGGTACGATCGCCGCTGGTCTGGCGTACATGTGCTTGTCTCCAGCAAGTCTGTTTCAGATATCCACCCCACCAACCCCTAGTCTGCAGCTACTCTTCACAGCACGAAGCCTACATGTGTGTGCCGTCGCAACAACTACAGAGTCTCAGTCTATTTGCTCCATCTTACCTCTTACGCACATACTCGATGTTTTTCATTTGCAACCCGTCATCGACAGGTTTGGAGTAGTGGTGATGGGAAGCCATCAGGTTCCGGGCTGGGAAGGAAGGGACGATCGCTTGGCGAATTCGCGCAACCGTGCCAAACCGCTCTGTCGGCTGACAGTAGGGTGCTGGCCATTGCTGACAGGGGGTGAGCGTCCTCGACGCGATTCGAACCGCGTGAAAACCTCTCTTGACATTCATCATGCAGTATTGATCGGGGACAAACTGTAGAATGCAGTCGATCATTTCGGCAGGTGGTGAAGTGCCATCAAGGGTCCTTCCTTCCTGTACGACTGCTACATGTAGCCGAAACCAAAACGGGGCGCCAATCTGTACCACCCTTCATTCAAAAGTCATTTCGTAACGAGCTTTGTTCGACTGTGGGTATATCTCGAATGGGTAGTCTCTCTGTGCGTGTAGTTATTTTTCCTTAATGCATAATCTCTATTCAAAAAGCTACTTATTTCCGTGGACAGCAACGTACAATGTGGATATGACTCATAGATAGCCGGGATGGAGAAAATATTCTGATATACCTGAGTTAATGTGTTATCAGGCACTGCCGGAGTTTGCAACAACTCACAGGCCTGCATCTAGCAGCGAGTGGCACACAGGAATCTCAACGTGTGTTGTTGCTGTTTTGCTATGTGGTTCCTTGAGACCCGCTCGTGATAACAATCCAAATTGAGCGCAAGTTCGTCCTCCAGCTCAATCCCTCTAAATAGCGGGTTTCGCTTGAATTTACAAAGGTTTTGGTCCTCAATTCTACCATAATAAGCGCTTCTCCATTCGCTGACACGTTCCAACAGCTCTCCGCTCCAAAGTTCCCTTCAAGCCAACAAAACATTGCTTCTGGCGAGCTCAAAGTAGTTCTGATGAAGGCTTCCGTCTAACCCTCGCGATGAACAGCAACAATCGTGTTCAGCTGTTCGATGCCACCACGAGCAAGTTCCTAGCGTCTGTTGGCACAAGGGGGCAGATTAGGCCCGGACGGATGCAGGGTCCCGAGGGTGTAGCGTTTGTGGACGGCCGCCGCGAGGTGAGGGAAGATTAAGTTTTCGTTTAAAAATATGCCCAAAAATATTGCTGTCCTTCAGAGAGAGTATACTCCCCCAGCCTGCAGCCCGACTCGCGTTTCTTCCCCAAGCAAGCTGCGGCGTTAATACACGAGTCTTGTCGCTAGCCGGTGTGTGGCTTGTTTTCTTTGGCCTGGCCTCTCCGCGATCGGTTCGCTCGATGACTGAGCGACACATGTCGCCGTTCCCCACTGCTCGCTCGTCACCCGTACGCTCAACAGCAATCGACCTCGGCAAGATGTGATCCTCCTGCATGTCGTCCGTCTTGTGATTTACGGCGAGAATGTAGTTCGTTCTTGTAATTATTGTACACCTGCTGCCCCCGCTGTACCACGCAGTATGCACTACGGAACGGATCATGCACTCAATGCTGCCCGTTTGTCTACAGCATGTCGAAAACAGGCAGACCGGTCCTCGATAACCCGGATGCCATCCAATTTTTCATCCGGATGCTGAACACGACGACAAAGTCTTGTTTCGTCATCGTTGCCCCAGTAGAGGGTGTTGGTAGTCCAGTGGCCCTTGTGCTTTGAACCGAGGGCATACAATAATGTGTGTCGTGCCTGCGCGCTTCACTGGGGGGGGGCGTGGTGTGCGCTCTGTAGAACATCCGCAACCCCCCATACTGCGCGCACGTGTCCAACCCGGCGGAGCTTAACTTGAACCCTCTCTGGACTATGCACACAAGAATGGGGCAACGCTAATACGAAAGATGCCGCCGAACCCGCCGAACCAGCCAAATCTCCCCTCGTGCCGTTGTAGATGATTGTGGCCGACACAGGGAACAACAGGCTTCAGATCTTCCACGTCGAGGAGCTGGAGGCTCCCCCCGATGACCCCGGTATCCAGCCCGACGTCACCTCCTTCTCCTCCTCTTCATCTTCCGTGAGTGGCATCGCATCGATGGACACGGTTGACAGCTGGCAAACAACATCCTCAAGCTCAGAAATGCCTAGTTCCTGGGAGCGATCTAAAGCGCCACCGAAGCCCCCCCCGGAACAAGACAAGGAGAACCGGCCCAATAAGTCGGGACGTGGAGCGGGGGAGCTACAGCGGGAAGCGGCCAACTTCGGACAGGGGCCGGATGATGCCGAGGGCGATGATGGTGCCTGTTTGCTCGTGTTCGCGGGGGAGGAAGACGCCGGCGGGTTGAGGCAGCGCCGAGTGGCGGGTGAGTCCGAAGACGCCGAGGGGCCTCTAAGCCAACCTTGCGACGTGGCGTACTGGAGGCCACGGCGGACGGCGGCTGGAGAATTCCCAGAAAAAGGAGCAAGAAAGAAGAAAAAGAAAAGAAAACCGGAAGAGAAAGAAGACGAAGAAGAAGACACCAATGCTGTCTGGGCGTGGAACCCTGAACCGCCAAGGTGGTTTTGGCCGAACCCTGAGGACGAGGAGAGAGCAAGGAGGGAGCTGTTATTACCCGCCTCGCCTCCGCGAACCAACCCCGCCCCGACCAGCAAGCCTCCCGCCGGGTTTCCACCCCGAGGGCACACCAAGAAACCGATCGATCGTCGCTCGACGTCGAAGGATGAAGGCAGAACGGTGCAGTCTCGAGTTGGCAGCATCAAGGGTGGTGGCACCGAGGAGCCCACACTTGGCGCGTTTGTGGTCTGCGCAACAGGAGTTGCCGGCAAGCTCCAGCTGTCGTTTATCGCCAAGACGAAGGTGCATGCAAGCTCCAGCTGTCGTTTGTGGCGTAGTGGCGCATGCAATGTGTTAATCCGTTTTGGACGATACTAATCAGCTCGCACAAGACCTTGGCAGACCTGGGAAATGCTCACCGACCAAATGACTCTCTTCTGAAATGACGTGTTGTCTCGCACTATCCACAAGCAGCTCTGGCCCTGAGGTAGAAATTGCACCGATAACCAGAGGGCGCGCGTTTCAACCCCATGACCGTTTCCTGCCTCTGGCCCTGAGGTAGAACATGTACCGATAACTAGAGGGCGTGCGTTTCAACCCCTTGACCGTCTCCTGGATTCCCTCGAAAACTTTCGCAGTGCGTAACATGCTGCTGGCTTGTGCGAAAAAAGAGAAAAAAAAAAACTCTGACCGCACAATACCAGGAAGCCGAGGAGGCCGAAGACGCCGCTGCGAAGGGAAGCGAGATCGCAGAGAGCGAGGACGAGTCTGTCTCTTCCTTCTCGGGACGGCGGTCTACAGAAGGACGAGGAGAAGACGACAGCTCGGAAGGCTTCGACTGGATGAGGCGCGTGTGCAGGAACGAGAAGTAGTTCGAATCCAAAGGAATGTGCTGGCGAAAGCCCGTACTTGAAGCAGACGAATCGTCGTCAGGATTTTCTTTCTCACGAATGGGTGGACGCGAGCTTCGTTCACGTTAGAAAACAGCGCCAAGCTTGCCCAATAATAAAAACGCGCGTGGGAAGGACCATCGAAGCCGAGGCTCTCAATCGGCATCGTAAAAGGAACCCCCTTTCTCCCGTTGGTCACGCATTCTGGCGTGAACGGTTGTGTCGTCAACACTCCTAGCCTGTTCCATGGGAGGGAAGCAGTCCTATGCAACTCCTATTTTGACCGTCCCGTCGGGTACAAACGGGTTTCCATTCAACAGTCTGATTTGCCCGAGGTTCGGGTTCTTCTTAGGCTGTACCAAGAGTCACGGTACGATAAAATGAAGTTTCAGGGTATCGGGGAGTCACCGGGTATTTATATTGCAACGGTGCCGGGTGTTCATGCTTAATACATAGTCAAGCATCCAGGATGCCGACTGCATAGAAAGTGCTTCTTGAATGGTAGAGCAATCGCCATCGTTGGCAGGCACTGACGAAGGTACTTGGTGCTCCAATACTCGTGCACATCTTTTTGGTCTATCGCATCATCCCTGTCTTTGTTCCTTACGCATAAAGAAACTTCGGCCAACCCTCCACTCCTCTCCGCGCCAGGCGGCTGTAGAATATCACCCCCCCCCCGCGGAGACTGTTAGCTCTACAAGGTTCTTGATATGGCGCTGTTGCCGCCTCTTGCCTCTACTGCTGCTGTCCGGATTATTTCGGTGTGCAGCAGGCCTACGACCTCACTTGCAGATGCTAAGAGTGGTCAGCGCGGACCAGGGCGAAGGGGAGTAGGCGAAGACGGGGAGAGAAAGCGAAACAAGGGGGGGGGAGCGGGGGGCACACGAGGCGAAAGAGATGACGGTTTTTCGCAGGCTTCATCCTCTACGCCGGTACCAACTTTCGAGGTGCCATTGCCGTCAGTGTGTGTCCTGTTTTCCTACATGCTTTGAAGTATGCGCAATTACAATTGCCGCCTGGGCAAGCGGGTGGATGAGAGATTGTCAACATATCCCGAGAACCGGCCAACCAGTCGCAGATTCTCCGGCAGTCATGAACAACCATCCGACGTCTTTTTTGTCCTGCACTCGCTACTCCAACCTTATCGTGCTGCGCGACGACCGGGCGGACGGACATGCATGTCAAGATAAGAGAGGAAGCCATCACTGTACTAGAAGGGGGGGGAAGCGTGGAAATATGTGGCCGCGTCTACGACTCGCTTCTGAGCTTGCTGCGAGCGTTCAGGTTGGCGTGTATGGTTTACCGATTCGCATTATTGCTGCAAAAAAGGGTGTTTTGCTCAGCCCCCGGGCCGCGTTGTGAAAGCAAAGCCCAGGAGTAGATCCAAGTTGTCCGAGTTCTATCTTGGGCGGTAGATTGCAGCATCTAGATGCAATTCTTGCTACTCGAGCAAATCCTACCACTTCTGCTTCTGTTCCCCCTTCTATTTCTATTCCCCTCTTCCTCCGTATCAATATACTACTGTTCCTCTCAACCCCCCCCTCAATATCACATAAAAACCGTTGTCCCCCTTGCACTATTTCTCCTCATTGGAACCATGGGGGCCCCGCCGTCGGCTTGCCCCTTCGTCTTGGGCGGGTAGGGGTAGGGGATTCGCGAGGCTAGTCGGCGTTGACGACGCCAGGGGGGACCGAGGAATCGTGGCCGTGGCGGAGCGGGGGGGTGGTCGCGTCCGCTTGCTTCATTACGCCCCGGCCCTCCGACCGTTCTATCCCACCGAGATAACGCATCTGCACAGGTCGGGGGTTGGCAAAGTGCCCATTTCTGATGTAGCATGCGTTTTAGCTCTTCGTGGGGTGAGGGACGGCATAGTCGCAAGCACGAGACAAAAACGCGTTCAGAGGGGAAGCAAAACGGTAGAGA